TTTACCGCATAAAGCGAAACAGTTTACACTAAAAAATCAATAAAAAATGGTTACCTTAATAGTTAATATAATTCATCCGAATATAATTCTGACTCGGCCCTGATTAAAAAATCAACCCTTCTACCAAACATGTATGCCACAAAACTGCAAAAGTGTAATGCAACGAAACATATATTTCATCCGGTCTCTGATTTATGTGAATGGACTTTTGTTCATGGAAGATTTAATCTCTACGTAGACGTGTTTATGAGTTTGGATTATTTGTATAAACATCGTTGGTAGGAATTATAATTGTAGAACCACTGAAAGTAAGGATTATTGACATGAATTTCGCCATATATAAACTTATGTTCACCTTTGATGATTGGAATAGTTGTTTATTGAACCTTAACTTCCCACCCCTTATATCGATTGACAACAACACCTGTTTATTTTCTCCTTGTTAGTGTGACTCTACTACAAATGACTATTGTGGACATATAAAAATTGTTGGGCCAGTTGTGATGGTCATTAAGCTCTTTTGAATGCTACCGGACTATATTAATTCTTATTCGGCATCCTTTGAATGGTTATTGGGCCTAAAAAAAAGAGGGAAATATTAATATGGGTTCATTCGAATATAATTTAGTGATTAAATTAATTTGGATCGCTCAAATGTCCAATTTATTTAATTATAAATTAAATCTTTAAAGGAATGGATCGGTCTTATTAATTTTGCGGCCATTATCAAATAGTGGCCCAATATGTAAGAGCCATGATCCAATTAATGAAGAGAGCAATGAATCTGGTTAAGAAATCCATCTATATGCATAGAAAACGGCCGCGAACCTTGTTAAAAAGGCTGTCCAGATACATCGAACAAGTGCTGATTTTTCTAGCTATCAAATGCAAGCAAATAGAGCCCGAAACCCATTTTAATTCAGGCCCACATGATATGGACGAATTTCAGCAACCCTAAGCCCTATTTTCACCCCCTCCACACCTATAAATAGGGGTCTCAGTTGAGAGAAAAGAAGGAGAACTTCCAGACAAAGAAACGCTGCAGCAAAGCTCTGAAGAACTCCCGAAAGGCTCTGAAGGATTCCGAAGAAGAGGAAGAGATCAAGCCACGTTTTTTTGTCAAGAATATATGATTAATCCTTTGTGATTTCATTTATTCTTGATCAAACAAAGCAAAAAGTTGAAGAACGTTCGAAGATCTGAAGAACGAAGCTTGAAGATTCGAAGATCTGAAGAACGAAGCTTTGAAGATTCGAAGATATGAAGAACGAATCTTTGAAGATTTGAAGATATTCATATGAAGATTGAATCAATATTCAATTGAAGATCAAGCCATATATCCCGGGAAGCCCTTTAACAGAAGATCAAGCCACATAACGGCCCTTTTGTTGAAGATCAAGCTACTTGAAACCGGAGGCCCTTCAATATTGAATTTTGCATTCAAGAAGATTTGAAGATATGAAGAACGAATCTTTGAAGATTTGAAGATATTCATATGAAGATTGAATCAATATTCAATTGAAGATCAAGCCATATATCCCGGGAAGCCCTTTAACAGAAGATCAAGCCACATAACGGCCCTTTTGTTGAAGATCAAGCTACTTGAAACCGGAGGCCCTTCAATATTGAATTTTGCATTCAAGAAGATTTGAAGATCTGAAGAACGAAGTTCGAAGATTCGAAGATCTCAAGAACGAAGATTCGAAGAATCGATGAACGTTCGAGTTTTTGAAGAATTAGAGATTTAATTTTAAATTAAATTCTTTAATTATATTCATATCAAATTGCAAGTGAAGAATCAGAGGATTAATATTTAGAGATTGTACCCGATATTCTCACATATTATTATTTGCGATCAATTTTAAGTAAATACTTAAAATTTGTTTCACAAATTTTTGGCACGCCCGGTGGGACAACTCTACCTCTCATCTCTTCACTTTTGATCAAGGGAAAATGAACCAATGGCATCAAGCAAGCCCGTGTTCACTTTGAATTCTCTAGCATCGTCAAGCTCAAATCAAAACATGCAAGGCCCTATCACTAGGAGCCGATCAAGAATCCTGGTTGCGCAGTCATCCTCGAGAACTACTCCCAGTGCAATGGATGGATCTAAAATTGCACAAGAGATGGCCCGGAAGTTTTCTTCCCCCATACGTGAAGTTACTTCCCCAAAATGGACAAGTGGTGGTGAGAGCTCATCATCTGGATCAGACTCTACTCCCCCGTCAACTCCTCCACGAAGAACTACTGCGCAGTGGTCAAACGTCTACACTGTGATGCCCACTATGACGACAAGCACCACATCTATGGAAGAACAAATCGCCCATCTAACTAAGGTCATCGAGGGGATGAGTATGTTCATGCAATCTCAAGAACAAAAGTTGAATGATCTGAACAACAAAGTAGAAAGTTTGAAAGGTGAGTCAAGTCATACTCATGAAAAGGATCCCGAAATGCATGAAGAGAATGATCCTCACCAAGAAGATTCGGGGAAGGATATCTCAACCTCTGGGGGCATGATCCCGATTGATCAACTTAAAGACTTCATCATGGGAACCATAAAAGGGAAGATGGAAGGAAGCAAATCTACTTACTCCTATGTTAAGCCATACACTCAAAGGATCGAGGATCTAAAGATGCCTATTGGTTACCAACCGCCGAAGTTCATTCAGTTTGATGGGAAGGGAAATCCAAGGCAGCATGTTGCCCATTTCGTGGAAACTTGCAATAATGCGGGAACCAGCGGAGATCATCTGGTCAAACAGTTCGTACGTTCCCTGAAAGCAAACGCTTTCGACTGGTATACTGACCTGGAGCCCGGTTCCATTGACAACTGGCAAGATATGGAACATGAGTTCTTAAACCGTTTCTATAGCACAAGGAGGGTGGTGAGTTTGCTCGAGTTGACTACTACTCGCCAATGGAAAGATGAGCCTGTGATATCTTACATAGAACGTTGGAGAGATCTCGCCCTCAGCTGTAAAGATCAGATCTCTACAAGCTCTGCCATCGATATGTGTATAGGAGGAATGCATTGGGAGTTGTGCTACATTCTCAAAGGAGTGAATCCAAATACTTTTGACGAGCTAGCAAGCAAAGCTCGTAACATGGAACTAAGCATTGCAAGCAGTAGAAGGAAAACCATGGGTATATGTCCCATCAACGATGTTGTTGAAAAACAAGATACCAAGAATGGGGGCAAGCCCTTTTCTAAGTTTGAAAAGAAAGAAGCAATGGTCGCGAAGACTGCACCTGTTAAGATCTTCACTCGAAATTCGAAGCAAGTTCCTAGAGCCGACTTGGAGGCATCAAAACACGTTAAACCATTTCTAGAAGAGATGTTGGAAAAGAAGTACCCCTTCTTAGACTCTGACATTCCTCTCATGTTTGAGGAACTGATGAGATTGAATCTTATCAGTTTGCCCGAGTCCAAGCGACCCGAGGAAGCCATAAAAGTCGATGATCCCAAATACTGCAACTATCATCGGATTATAAGTCATCCCACTGAGAAGTGTTGGGTTCTTAAAGACAAAATCATGGCACTAGCTCGTGATGGAAAGATTGAGCTCACCGATTCTGCTGCAAGCACAAACCAAATTACCATCACTTTTGGTAAGTTTTCTCCACTCATAGTCAATGATGACTCAAAAGAAGAGAGCATGATCTTTCACAATCGAAGACTTCCTTTTACTGTCAAAGGGATGGGAAATGACTCTCCTTTCAACAAAAGCGTGAGAGATGAAGAAAATAATGGTAAAGATTGTCCATGGATCTTAATAGATCGAGATAATCAAAAGAAAAGGCACAAATTGATCTCCTCCCCAATTAAGGAAGTGAAGAAATGGGTCAAGAGAAAGGAGGAAAATAAACGCAAGCTAAAGAAGGAAAGAAAGACTCATGTTTGTTCCAAGGTTGTGCGAAGGCCAATTACTCTAGACGACTATATGCCGAAGGATTTCAAGAACAAGGTGACTCAAATTTCGAGTTCTTGCCTTAGCACCCATGAGAAAGAAGTTGAGAGTTCAAGTGGATGTCCATCTCTAGTTTCGACTAAGAAAGAAGTGGTCGAAGCACAAAAATCTACTTCATATATCACTGACATTGTCTTTAAAGACGAAGATCTCATGTTGGGTGCTACTCCCCATAACCGTCCGCTTTTTGTTGAAGGATACACTCGTGGACAAAGATTCAAAAGAATTATGATTGATCAAGGGTCTGCCGTTAACATTCTTACGGTTCGAGCTATGAAAGACCTTGATATATCAATGGATGAACTCTCCCAAAGCCGCTTGATGATTCAAGGCTTCAATCAAGGGGGGCAAAGGGCGATTGGAATGATACGTCTTGATTTGATCATCGGCGGACTGAAGGCAAACACTCTATGCCATGTGATTGATGCAAAGGCTTCATACAATCTCCTTCTAGGACGCCCATGGATCCATGAGAACGGTGTAATCCCTTCAACATGGCACCAATGCTTCATGTATGAGCAAAATGGCGTTGTAAATAAGGTAGTGGCCGATGAAACTCCATTCACACAAGCCGAGTCTTACTTCGCTGATGCAAAGTTTTACTCACAGGTCAAATTATCTAAAGATAATGATCTTAAAGATAGTGATGTGTATAACCCTTTGACTGAGCTAAAGTTGAAAGAAAAGATTGTTGAAGGCATGGAAAGACTTACATTCCCTCTTACGAAGATTGAGATATTGAAAACTCCTCGGAGCACATGTAAGGAGGAAGTAAAGAGCAAAGATGATGTTAAGGCATACGATCTCCCCAAGGCACGTACAAATGAAGGATTTGATCCAAAAGCATATAAACTCGCTAAAGCCGGGTATAATCCTAACGAACAGAAGTTGGGGAAACTCATTCCAGAAGCTGGTGGAGAAGGAACACCGAAGCAAATAAGTTTACGGGGGCACGTTGGATTGGGTTATGTTCAACCTAAACCTATAAAGATCCTCATAAATAGAGCTACAATACATCATATTAGTGTCGATGAAGAAGATGAAGTGACTACCAAACTAAAGTGCTCTGTCTTTGAGCATATTGAGGGGGCAAGATCAAGGCCCGCCATCTTCGATACAATGGGTCTGAAGGCAAAGAAAGTTATGAAGAAAACTTTAGAAGAACAGCTTGGAACAAGCCCGATAATGACGAAGCACGCTGAAGACCCATGCATGGGACAAAACTTCGAAAGAAAGCATGTTCACGAAAGATTGGGATTGGAACATATAGACAATAAATCTGCTAAAGTTCTTTCCAGAAAGCAAAGTCTTAAAAGGCATAGAAGTTCTATCCCACCTCGTATGAAACGAGAAACCGATGTGAAGTTAACCTACGGAAGTGGACTCAAAGTCAAGCCAGTGACCATTGTGCACACCCGTGGTCAATATGAAGACCAATATGAAGATTCAGTACCCTTGATGTTGGGGTATATATATGTCAAATAAAGTGTTGAAAGGCTTAAACCACCAATGATGTTGTAAGTGGCTAAACTGCTAAAACATCTCACTTTATCTATGGGTGAGCATAATGATAGATACTCTTGGCCCACGAGAGTTTAAAATGTGTACGGCAAGCTCCTGGCCCGCATGAGTTAAAACTGTGTACGGCACCCCGCCCCTTTAAATTACCTATTCAAATGGTACTATGAACTACGTTTGACTTGATCTCCTTCATAGGAGTACGTAGGCAGCTCAAAAGTTTCATTTTTGAGTTCAGTTATAACAAAACAAAATCCATTTATGTTTTTAAAGGGAGGATATCAGCAAAAGGAGTACGAAAAACAAAGACATACTGGAATGGCGGAGTTCTCAAGTCTGTGCCTCACCTGAAATTGATTGAGTTGAGCCTCTAACATCATCTTCTAACAGCGCCCCCATCGTAACAATGTATCAAGCGGTGTCACTCTAGCCTTCCCCAAGACGAAGTGGTCGGTCTTCACACTGGCAAAGTAGCAAACCTTCAAACCGGCGAAGTGGTCGTCCTTCAAACTGACGAAATGGCCAGCCATTCATAAACGGCGAAATGGCCGCCCTTCATAAACGGTTAAATGACCGCCTTCATAAAAGGAGAAATGGTCGCCCTTCATAAATGGCATCAGTAGGGTTTCGTATTCACCGACAATCTCCTTAATCCTTTAAATCGGTGTCATCCCAACAAAGGGCTAAGCAGCACCGATGATCTGAAGTCGGCTTAATTCCTTAAATCGGTGTCATCCCAACAAAGGGCTAAGCAACACCGACAATTGGGAATCGGCCTAATTCTTCAAATCGGCGCCATCCCAACAAAGGGCTAAGCAGCACCAACAACCGGGAATTGGCCCAAATCTTTAAATCGGTGTCATCCCAACAAAGGGCTAAGCGACACCGACGACCGGCAATCGGCCTAATTCTTTAGATCGGTGCCACTAACCCAACAAAGGGTCCTAAGCAGCATCGACAGGCGACAATCAGTCTAATTCTTTACATCGGTGCCATCCCAACAAAGGGCTAAACAGCACCGGCGATTGGCCAAATTCTTTTAATCGATGTCATCCCAACAAAGGGCGAAGCAGCACCGATAGTAGACAATCAGCCAAAGTTCTTGCCTTTTCAATGAATGGCATCACCTTCAAGCTGCTTGAAATTGCAGAATATCGGACTCTTAGTTGCTCCAACAAGTGGAGAATTAATGCTTTAAAGGGTTTTAAGCACCCAATGATTTGACGATTTGACAGCCCCTGCAAAAAAAAAAAGACCTATAAACATCTAAAATTGGGTCAGATAGCTCAGGTCTAAAAAAGGGGGGTGAAAATCCTAATGAGGCCTGATAATTAATACTCCATGAATTAAAGCCCATGACCAAATTCTTTTGAAGGTTTCTCTGGAATCTGGTCGTCGTCTTCACGCAAGGAGAATAGCAGCCTAAGCAACTCCTTCAGACTTCGGACCGTCATATATTCGCACGCAAAGCACCAGAACCTCCTTGAAGCCGCACACTGCTGCTCGTCATTAGAAATCAAACTCGAGCTCAGCTGCCGACCGCACAGGCCTCCGCCGGAAATCGACCGTGAGCTCTGGATGAACCGTGCTCCTTCACGAACACAATAATATCAGCATCGATGGAGCTCCTTCTTCTCGCCAAGTCGGCAAAAGCGGCATCTTCTCTCTCCAGCGCAAGGCTCCAACAATGAAAGCGGGTCCACCATCTTCTCTGGCAGCAACATCACGATCTGCAACGGGATCATCTCTTGGGCGACACCAACCTTTGACAGCACCAGAAATCGATCGGCTTTGAACCGTGCGTCAACAAACCCCCGGCCGGCGGCATCACGAAATCAGCTTCCTCTGCACCTGGGATTCTGGACAGGCCTCTTGGGATTCCGACATCAATTTCTGACGGCTTGATGGCATAACAGCATCGGCGGCACATGAACTTTATCTCCCATCAAAACTAGAAGCAGCAGAATGGCTTCTTCCTCTCTCAAAATCGGCTTTAGTGCGGCCTTCGTAGCATCAGAAAGTGACGTGCAGTGTTCACAGGAAATCAACCTCAACTTGACGCAACCACGCCGCTGCAGCTCCGGAAGAAACCTACTCCCCTCCTCGCTGAATTGGTTTCATCATCTGCCTCACCAACGAGCTGGCTAGCTTCAGTCTCCGGCGGCAATGAAAAATAGCAACTTTGTTTCTCCTCCTTCCGGCAAATTTCGAGCTCGGTTGATTGATTCCATATGTGGGTGATATTTGTCTCCAGAAATCTCCCCTGCAATATGCCAAAGAAGAAAGAGAGAGAAAGAATTAGAATAAAACTAAATTTACCTTGAGATCTCTTGCTCCAAGGAATTGGTGGATCTTGGGATCTCTAGATAATTATTTTGCAGTTTCAGATTGATCTGATCTCCTATTTATAATTCTTGAAAGGAAAGGCGATCCGGATAAAACGCAGCAGTGGAAATTGATACGGAGATTAGTTCTATTAAGGATACGTTTATTCGGCGGGTAGAAGAGTTCAACTATGACTCTACTCAATTTGATGCCGTGAGATGATTTTGAGGATTGAATTGATAGGCTGGCTTCAATTGCATGACAATTATTTTGATGTTTTGCAAAATAATACTCCACATAAGTCAGCTTTAAAAAGGTTTCCAGGTTGATTGGTTGTTGGCTAAATAGGTTTTGGGCTATCAAGCCTATTCAATTAAAGAGGAGAATATATCTTCAATTGACGTCTCATCTTAAGTCAACATGTGATTTGGCCCAACTTATATTCGAGAATTACTTTCTCGTCAAAGAACGTTCAAGCAAGTCTCGAGGGGGCAGTTGTGGACATATAAAAATTGTTGGGCCAGTTGTGATGGTCATTAAGCTCTTTTGAATGCTACCGGACTATATTAATTCTTATTCGGCATCCTTTGAATGGTTATTGGGCCTAAAAAAAAAAGAGGGAAATATTAATATGGGTTCATTCGAATATAATTTAGTGATTAAATTAATTTGGATCGCTCAAATGTCCAATTTATTTAATTATAAATTAAATCTTTAAAGGAATGGATCGGTCTTATTAATTTTGCGGCCATTATCAAATAGTGGCCCAATATGTAAGAGCCATGATCCAATTAATGAAGAGAGCAATGAATCTGGTTAAGAAATCCATCTATATGCATAGAAAACGGCCGCGAACCTTGTTAAAAAGGCTGTCCAGATACATCGAACAAGTGCTGATTTTTCTAGCTATCAAATGCAAGCAAATAGAGCCCGAAACCCATTTTAATTCAGGCCCACATGATATGGACGAATTTCAGCAACCCTAAGCCCTATTTTCACCCCCTCCACACCTATAAATAGGGGTCTCAGTTGAGAGAAAAGAAGGAGAACTTCCAGACAAAGAAACGCTGCAGCAAAGCTCTGAAGAACTCCCGAAAGGCTCTGAAGGATTCCGAAGAAGAGGAAGAGATCAAGCCACGTTTTTTTGTCAAGAATATATGATTAATCCTTTGTGATTTCATTTATTCTTGATCAAACAAAGCAAAAAGTTGAAGAACGTTCGAAGATCTGAAGAACGAAGCTTGAAGATTCGAAGATCTGAAGAACGAAGCTTTGAAGATTCGAAGATATGAAGAACGAATCTTTGAAGATTTGAAGATATTCATATGAAGATTGAATCAATATTCAATTGAAGATCAAGCCATATATCCCGGGAAGCCCTTTAACAGAAGATCAAGCCACATAACGGCCCTTTTGTTGAAGATCAAGCTACTTGAAACCGGAGGCCCTTCAATATTGAATTTTGCATTCAAGAAGATTTGAAGATATGAAGAACGAATCTTTGAAGATTTGAAGATATTCATATGAAGATTGAATCAATATTCAATTGAAGATCAAGCCATATATCCCGGGAAGCCCTTTAACAGAAGATCAAGCCACATAACGGCCCTTTTGTTGAAGATCAAGCTACTTGAAACCGGAGGCCCTTCAATATTGAATTTTGCATTCAAGAAGATTTGAAGATCTGAAGAACGAAGTTCGAAGATTCGAAGATCTCAAGAACGAAGATTCGAAGAATCGATGAACGTTCGAGTTTTTGAAGAATTAGAGATTTAATTTTAAATTAAATTCTTTAATTATATTCATATCAAATTGCAAGTGAAGAATCAGAGGATTAATATTTAGAGATTGTACCCGATATTCTCACATATTATTATTTGCGATCAATTTTAAGTAAATACTTAAAATTTGTTTCACAACTATCTCCTCATTTGCTTCCTAGACTTCAACATCCAATTATCATCCTCGGTGTGGGTCTCAACGCCAAGCCCGATCTCACTATTGAGACCTGGGCCCATCAGGATACCCAGGCTTAGGATTGATTCTAATATCTAGGTCAGTTTTTTGTTGACATGATTTCTATTTCATTTCAATTCTCATTAACCATATTTTTGGATGTGAGTTTATGCGGCTGAATTGTCATTTGTCAATTGTATGTCCCACACAAAGGTTTCTGGTGATGTATTTTGGGATTGTGATTGTTTTCCTATATTGATATGTTTTATTGAGGATATTAGGATTTTGTTTTGTTCAGATTCCAGACTAGTTATAGCTGATTCCCAATTAGCAACATCTTGTATTTTTCTGTAGGCCTGGTAATCTTCTCCCGCTGAATCTCTTGGTCCTCTTACTTCATGTGATATTTTCTTCTAAATTTTATGTCAATAATCAATTTTGTTTTGATTTCTTTCAGATTCAGGTAAACTTTCATTTGTTTTTCCCTCACTGATTTTACTTCTTGTGAATTATCTTCTTGTATTGGACTTTTATTTCAATAGTCTAAATGAATTTCAAAGTTATTGAATCTCGTATTGATAGAGCATGTCGGTTCTGCTTAATTCCTTTTGTGGATTTGATATTGGTTCCAACTACTTGTTGGAGAGGATCGTGTCATTCATGTGTCTCTTTATAATCTATGTACATGTAAGATTAATGCTTTTTTTGTTTATTAAACTTGATTATATACTTGTCTGCAATTAAAAGTTGGACATTATTTGCTTTTAGAAAAATAAAAATTAGAGAATGAGAAGTAAATTAGATTCTATTTGGAGCTTCTATGATAAAAGGTCTAATTTGGCTTAAGGGGTTTTGTTGAATTAGTGTTTGAAATTATGTGAAGAGTTAAAATATCTATAAATATCTTATTCCATTGGCACTGTTTTGACTTTTGAGCTGGGTTAGAAGTTGTTCTGTTCGTCTTATTCTTATTACTTATTGCTTATTCTTATTTATTCAGATCAGATCAGATCAGAAAAATTCAGATCAGATCAGATCAGAAAGATTCAGATCAGATCAGATCAGAAGCATTCAGATCAGATCAGAAAGATTCAGATCAGATCATACCAGATCAGAAACATTCAGATCAGATCAGATCAGAAAAGTTCAAACATGAATAATCCCTTTCATTATATTAAAAATAATTATTATTATTTTAATTATAAATATAATTATAATTATAATTATTTTTTATTATAATTATACCTAATACACTAATTAAAGTTATAGCTAATGATAATTACAATTATAATTACAATTATCATCGTACTTATAATTATAATTACAATTATGATCATAATTATTATTATTATTATTATTATTATAATTATAATCATAATTATAATAGAAATTATAATTTTAATCATAATTATAATTTATATAATTATAATCATAATTATAAATATATTTATAATCATAATCATAATCATAATCATAATTATAATTATAATTATAATTATAGATATAATTATAATTATTATGATCATTATTATTATAGTTATTATTGTTGTTTTTGTTATTATTATTAAAATTATACCTAATACACTAATTATAATTATAGCTATAATCATAATTGTAATTATATCTATAATTGTATTTATAATTGTAATTGTAATTATAATTGTAATTGTAATATTAATGTAATAATAATTATGATTATAAATATAATTATGATTATAATTATAATTATAATGTAATTACAATTATTTTGATAATAATTATAATTAAAATTATAATTATAATTATAAATTAAAAATGTAATTAGATTATAACTATAGCTATTATTATAATTGGTGCAATAGGTTTAATTATTAAAATTATAATTTTAATTTTATTTATCATTTTTATTTTAATTATAATTATTTTATAATTATGGTTATAATTATAATTATATTTAAATTGTATTTATAATTACAATTATAATTATAATAATTATATTTACAATTATAGAAATATTCAAATCAGTCCAGATCAGAAAGATTCAAATCAGATCAGAAGTATTCAGATCAGATCAGAAGGATTCAGATCAGATCAGACCAGATCAGAAAAATTCAGATCAGATCAGAAAAATTCAGATCAGATCAGACCAGATCAGATCAGAAAAATTCAGATCAGATCAGATCAGAAAAATTCAGATCAAATCAGATCAGAAACATTTAGATCAGGTGAAGAGAACAACTTCTTAGTTGCTTTATATATCTCTTACGCATGCTGGGTCGATAGGTTTGAAGATGGATGTTGGAAGGATTCAGATGCAGGCTTTATTGGCTTTAATACTCTGCTGAAAATTAGGTTGATGAAGTAATTGTTGCTAGTTTTTTTTGTTGCTTTTTAACCGAGTGAAATCATATTTTAAAAGGTGTTGGTGCAGCTTTTTATGTTGGTGGTAAATTAGGGAGTATTTGCAATTGCTTCAACTTTAAAAAAGTGATTTTTTAAAGTGATTTGGGAAAAAGTGATTAATAATAAAAGTTGATAGTGTTTGAGAAAAAAGTGATTCTGAAAAAGTAAAAGTTGGTAGTGTTTGGTAAAATAAGTACTTTTTGTGTAATAGAAAAAGTGAAAAGCAGTTTAAAGCACCCTTCCACCTGCTTCCAGCTTTTAGCTTTTAAGTGATTAATTTAAGCAGAAACTGTCATTTGAAAACACTCTTTTTAACTTTTTTTAAGCCAAAAGATGAAAAGTGCTTTTTTAAATCAACTACAAACACTCCTTTAGTGTCTCTCAATGTGATTACTTACTACGTAGTACTCCCTCCGTCTCGAAAAGTTTGACCAAATTTCCTTTTTTGGATGCCCAAAAAGATTTGTCATTTCCATTTAAAGTGGGAAATATGTGGCTAAAGTTAATTCTCTCTCCTCTGCACAAATCTCAACCACACAGTTTTTACTTTATTCATCCACGTGAAAGTCAACTTTGACCAACCTTTTCGGGACAGAGGGAGTATTACTTTTATCAATGTTTTTTGAAGTTTCTTATTTTGTTTTGTTTCATTTGAGTTTCAGGAAAGTGCCAAAAGTCCGGAGCAAAAATTTCTACATAGGAGTGATCGTATGTAGAAACTATGCACATGAGGCTTTCATTGGTTATTGAATTCAGTAGGCTATTCTAAGAGTATATGATTGTTTTTGCAAAATATTTTGTATCTGATCAATGATCTTTATTTGAAAGCATGTGCTACTATTGAAGCAGTAATAAGAAAAAAAAGGAGTTCATCCATTTATGTTGACTAGCTGCAAATCAGAACCATCAATATCAAACAAGCAAAAGGCTGAATCTAGATGCGGATTACTAGGGGGACGGGGGGTGGTGGCTAAGAGCAGCAACACATTCAGTGTGCTTCTCCTTTGTCGGTCATATCCCTTAACAGGTATGTGCAATTCTTTCTTCTTCATTCCAGATCTTCTAGTGCAACGAGGTCTGATGAAGTTATGGTGGTGAAGAGACTATGAGGGTGCATCAGTGTGGTCAAATCTCATGGTGAAAGAAGGATTGGGCCTGATTCCACACAAGTAACACAACCTCGCTAACGCAACTTTGTTCATTTCAGCTAAGTTCACAATCACCAAATAGCCTTGTCATTCTCGTTGTTGAAAATTATGTTTAATTCTTGTAAGTGAAAGAACATGTAAAAATATTGATGGAGCTGTCAAAAAACTTCCATACGCTAATGTGATAATTTGATAATTCCAAAGTTTGGAAACAAAAATCAGAATTACTTTAAGTCTTTAAGATTAAAGTTATTTTACATATGACATAATACCAAACTTACAGCATACGGTTTCACCCAACCTACAGATCAAAAGAAAGGATTCATGGAAAGCTATTTAGAAGGTATTTTTATACTAAGTATACAATGTTAAACAATTATAGTTCACTACACTCATTTCTCTTGCATATATATTATTGAAGCATTGCACAAATAACTTCACTAACAATTTAGTTTTACTCCTCTATCTTTACCTCCTTTAAATTCCAGGTATGACAATGAAAATTGTAGGTTGAAGGATAATAATGTATATGTTGAATTTGACCCGTATTATGAGATGCAATAGTTCCGGGGAGGTGTATCCTATCGTTAGCAATGTTGTGACCACCACCACCATCACACCCATCTCTATTGTTGTTGTGTCGCCCAATCGCTGGCATGAACGGTTGGGTCATCATGGCAAAGTTGTTCTTGATTTACTTCATAATAAGTTTTTAATTAAATGTAAATAAATATTAATGTTTTCAAATTTTGTCATTCTTGTCAAGTTAGTAAACATGTTCATTTACCTTTTTCCCCTTCTGGGCCCAATTTTACTACTGCTTTTGATATTATTCATAGTGACTTATGGACATGCCCTTTTAATAGTAGTATTGGTTTTTGCTATTATCTACATTTATTAAATGATTTTACCAACTATCTCTCGATCTATCCACTTAGACTTAAATCTCAAGTTTTGGAAATTTCCAGAGTTCAGTAGATTTGTGCGCACAGCGCACTCAATTTGAAAGAGAAATAAAATCTTTCCAATGTGATTTAGGATGTGAATTTGATAACTCCATGTTTCACATGTTTACTAAAGAACGTGGTTTGTCTTCCGATTCTCTTGCCCACAAACGTCACCTCTGAACGGTAAAGCCGAACGAATAATTCGTCGCATAAATGACATCACATGCACCCTTATGACTCATGCCTCCATCCGTCCAAAATATTGGGTTGACTCTATTTATATGGCTGTTTATCTTCATAACATCCTGCCGACAAAAACCCTATCCTTCCGCTCCCCGGTATTAGCATTATACCAGCGTCAACCTACATGTGACCATTTTCGTACTTTTGGCTGTTTCTGCTACCGAGATCTTAGCTTCACTGCCCCAATAAAATGGCTTCTTAGTCTACTCGTCGTGTTTTTCTCGGATTCTCACCCCAACATCGTGGGTATCGTTGTCTACATTTAGCTATAGGAAACATCATTATCTCTAGACATGTTACTTCCGATGAGTCAATTTTTTCGCTTTACGGAACTACCTCCCTCACCCCCACGACCTATGACTTCCTATCCTCTCATCCTCTATTAATTCATAACCTTGCCTATCCCCAAACCATCACTACCCCACCCCCACCGACACCCACCTCCCTTCCACAACCATTAAATACCTCAGCTCATAATGACCTCTACCCATCGCCAACCCCGCCAACCCCTACTTCGTTGCCCATGTCCTCTCCACCCCCATCTCCCTCACCCCCTCCACCCCTCCTCCTCCCCTTACTAACTGCATGGCCACTCGTGCCTCACACAAAATTTTTAAACCTAAACTTGTGTTTGACCTTTATATACAAACCATCACCCCTATATCACTTCTCCCACACTCCCATTTATCTGCCCTGCAGGACTCTAACTAGATTGCTGCCATGAAAGATAGGTGCATTGCTTTATTAAAAACACACACTTGGGATCTGGTTCCACGCCTCCTAGTGCTCATGTTATTATTCTCTATATGTGGCTATTCCGACATAAGTTTCACTCAGATGGTTCCCTTCAGCGTTATAATGCTCGACTGGTAGCAAATGGAAAATGTTAACATGTGGGCATTGACTTCTTTGATACTTTTAGTCCTGTAGTTAAACCTACCACAATTCGTACTGTGCTCACTATTTCGGCATCTCGTTCATGTCCCATTCACTAGTTGGATGTTAAGAATGCATTTCTCCACGGGGACTTATCTGAGACAGATTATATGCATCAATCCCCGGGATTTACTGATCCAGCTCGCCCAAACCATGTCTGCCTATTACGCAATTCTCGATATGGTCTTAAGCAAGCACCTAGAGCATGGTTTCAAAGATTTGCTACATTCATCACTCGTTGTGGTTTTCGAGGCAACAAATGTGACTCCTCTTTGTTTGTGTATAACACTGGCTCCGACACCGCGTATCTCTTACTATATGTGGATGAAATTCTTCTCACTTCTCAGATGAGCTTCTCCATCATCTTATTACTTTGATGAAGAGAGAATTCTTTGTGACCGACCTTGGATCTTTGCATCATTTCCTCGGCTTGACTAACACTTGCTCTACACCTGGTATGCTCAAGAAATACTTGTTTGTGCTGTTATGACCAACTGCAAACCTGCAGCAACACCTGTTGACACAACTGTCGGCCAAACTCAGTGCCTCCACCGACTCCTCTCCAGTTGATCCCACTCTATATCGCAGTCTTACCGGAGCTCTGCAGTATTTGACCTTCACTCGACCTGACATCTCTTATATTGTCCAACAAGTGTGCGTCTTCATGCATGATCCACGAACACCTCACTTTTAATCACTCAAGCGGATCTTATGTTACTTGATAGGTACAATTGATCATGGCCTATTAATCTCTTTCGGCCTTATCTCCGGACTCACTACTTACTCTGATGCTGATTGCGTCGACTGCCCTGATTCTCGATGATCCACACCCGATTTCTGTATTTTACTTGGTGATAATATCATCCCATGACCTTCTAAACGACAAGCTACAGTCTCCCGCTCTAGTGCTGAAGCTTAATATAGAGGAGTTGCTAATGATGTTCCTGAATCCTGTTAGCTCCGCAATCTCCTTGTCAACCTTGATCTCCTTCTTGGATCTACCACTATTGTCTATTGTGATAACATCAGTACCGTATTTCTCTCGAGCAACTTTGTCCAACATCAACACACAAAGCATATTGAGATTGACATTCAGTTTGTCCGGGAACGAGTTCATCTGGGAGACATTCTAGTTCTTCATATTCCTGCCGAGTATCAATATGCTGACATCTTTACTAAAGGACTTCCTCGGCAATTATTTCTTTGCTTTCGTGATAGTCTCAACATTTGCCCTTCTATTGCGACTACGGGGTGTAATAGCTTACCATATTTAATTTAGATGTGATCTCTAGCCATATTTAGATATTTGTAATTAATAGTTGATATGCATATCCCACAATATCCTCTTGTAATTATTCCCCTTAACATTTTTACTACCATCACTCTTGTAAAAATTATGCTAATGTAAAGGTTTTTCCTCAAAGGGTTTTGCTCATTCTCCAATATCTAGGGCCGGATCATAAAAACAAGAAAAATGTATTTGGGATCATAAAAACGTATTGAAGCCTTGATAAAATTACTAGCTATATATAGGATTTGACTTTAATTGTCTTCTCAATAGATGAGGATGAGGAATATTGCAAGTGGGGTTAAACTATCCCACATAGATCACATATAAAGTGCAGGGACATAGAAATACGAAAACATAGACAAATAAGGTCAAAAATAAGGCTAAGTATGTTTTTTTTCTTCAAATAAATTTTATTTAGTTCAACTAAAAGAATAAATTGATTAAAACATTTTAAAATAAGAATTTTCGTGTACTTCAATTTTAAGAGGAGGGGAAGTCGTGCTACAAATTAAATGGTCGAGATTAAAGCGATGGGCATGAGTAGTAAGGAAACTGAATTACAAATGACTATGTACGTACATTAGAATTCATGCATCATATGTGTGGTGGCAATTGGAATTTCTGTGAACCTAGAATTTGATGAGATGAGTTTTGGATGAAGATAGCTATGCCACATTTACAACTATTGAAAGTTTCCCATAGTGAGAAATTGATCGTTCTTGATGACACAGTCTTCTTCTTCCCGGTCTCTGCCACAACATCCTTGATCTCACCGTCACACAACCTCTCTAATCTCCTGACAACGTAGTCGTTGGCAAGGACTGTGTCTCTATTCTGTCCGTCCTCGCATCGTGTCAACAAACCGCACTCGAATAGCGCGACCATGATGACGATGTCGTTGCCCCCGTTTTCGTCTTTCTTTATACTTCTAGTCAATGACACCTGCAATGTCTCTGCTCTTGGCCTCTCGAACGTTGCCTGTTCATGAGAAAATTGTTCAAACTAAGACTAGAACATACTCAACATCCAAAAATAGGATCACATATTTTGTTACATTACATTTCTATCCTTAGTATAGCTATTTGATGCTTCCTCCGTCCTAAAAAAGTTTGTTAAATTGACTTTTCTTGATCAATGGTCGATAGTGTGTTAGAACTACTTCCAGCTCAGGTCTCAACCAATTAACATCCACAAAGGATGAAATCAACCACTAGAATCACTAAAGGGAGTTTATGGGCATCTGCCTTCAACCTATTTCCGGCCAAAATCCGATGAAGCCCCACAGGAGGAGCACGGACAGAAATCTGGACGAGAAAGAGGGGTTTCAGCCAGCCTACATCGCGGACAGCAAAGGAGGTATAATAAGGTCAAGCTCCAAACGTTATACAAGGTAATTGCCAAGAAGGAAAGATGGCAACGGTAATGCACTCGGGGATGGAAGGAAATCACGCGCAGAGTAATCGAAACAAGAAAGCCGATCTCGAGAGAATAATACCAACGGGCCGGGTAAAGGCTAAAGGTAAATTGGGCTTATGGTAATAGTGGGCCAATACCAACACATTCTCCACCTTATTGGACCCTAGTGGTGTAGAGCATAACGCTCTAAAACAAACATGAGACTCATCATCGCTGGATTGCCCGAATAATCACAAAGACATATTCAGGCAAAGGGGTAAGATCACCAGGCAACTTATCCGCAATCAATGTTTAACGTGCGCTTACACGACAACAACTTTTCGACCGAGAGACATTTAGTCCCCATGTCAGCAGGATTAAATTCTGAAGGAATTTTAATCAACTTGATATGACCTGCACTCACAATATCACGTATAAAATGAAATCTAACATCAATGTGCTTAGTTCTATCATGAAAAACAGGGTTTTTACACAATTGAATAGCAGATTGACTATCAGAAAACACACAAATGTCCTGCTTAAGACTACCAATCTCCGTTAGGAGACGTTTAAGCCAAATGGCTTCCTTAAACGCTTCGGTAGCGGCCACATACTCCGACTCAGTGGTGGATAGGGCAACTATGGGTTGAAGTTGAGATTTCCAACTAATGCACGACCCACAAAGAGTAAACACATAAGAGGTAGTGGATTTCCTATTATCTCTATCATTAGCAAAATTAGAATCCACATACCCACTCAACTTAACCCCCTCAGAACACCTAGTGAAAACCAACCCATGATTAACAGAAGATTTCAAATACCTAAGCATCCACTTAAGAGCATTCCAATGATCTAAACCAGGATTAGACATATACCTACTCAAGCAACTAACAGCATAGGCAATGTCGGGTCTAGTACTCACCATGAGATACATCACGGACCCAATAGCATTGGAATAAGGCACAGATTTCATTTTAGCAATTTCAGGAGCAGTCTTAGGAGACTGATCCTTACTTAACACAAAGTGAGACGCCATCGGGATAGAAACGGGAGTAGCAGAATGCATGTTATATTTACTCAAAATCTTTTCAATGTATGAAATCTGATTGAGAACTAACACACGCTTACTCCTATCCCTAACAATGTTAATGCCTAGGATCCTTTTGGCATCACCTAGGTCTTTCATAGCAAAGTTCTCACTGAGACGCTTTTGCACACATTTAATGGCGTCACCCGAAGGACTCACAATCAACATGTCATCCACATATAGCAATAAAAATACAGGCACAGAAGAAGTATTTTTAAAGTATAGGCAATGGTCGCATTTAGACTTGTGAGATTTCAAAGATGACATGCATTGGTCAAATTTGATATTCCACTGCCTCGGGGACTGCTTCAGGCCGTACAAGGCCTTCCTAAGCAAACACACATGATCACTCTTCATGGGATCTACAAAGCCCTCAGGCTGGGACATATAGATTTTCTTGTCTAAATCACCATGCAAGAACGCAGTGGTGACGTCCATTTGCTTCATTTCCCAATCATTATGAGCAACAAGAGCAAGCATCATACGAATCGTAGTAAATTTAACTACAGGAGCAAAGATTTCAGCATAATCAACACCTTCCTTTTGAGTAAATCCCTTAGCTACTAACCTAGCCTTATATCTAATGTCGTTAGGCTCTTCCTTAACCTTAAATAGCCACTTACAAGCAACAACGGAACTATTGGGCAGTCTAGGAACTAACGTCCAAGTCTTATTCGCTCTAAGTGACTCCATCTCACTTTCCATGGCGCAACGCCATTTAGCGGACTCATTAGACTTAAGGGCCTCTCTATAGGTTCTAGGTTCGTTAAGCTTAAGGGTCTCAAACACAGAGAAAGCAAACATAGAAGTATCACACATATGGAAAGCATAATCAGGCATACTATCAGCAGTTCTCCTAATTACTCTCCTACTTCTATCTCTAGCAAGTTGATAATCATGCAAATCATTCTCACTAGAATCCGCACTCTCATCATGCGATTCATTGTCATTTGAATGCACATGAGAATGCTCCACCTCACTCGAAGTGGTGGTAGTATCATGCTCAGAAGAATCAGAATCATGCAATTCAGAAGAATCAGAATCATGCAAAACAACATTATCATGATTAGCAAACAAAGGGCTAGCAGCACGTGGTATGGACTCCACCTCAACGGGTGTACTACTAGGATCAGACTCAGAATCAGGAACTGACTTAACCAGACAAGGAAACTCGGATTCATTGAAAACAACGTTTCTACTTACCACAACTTTGAAACCTACCTGGTTCCTATCCCAAACCCTGTACCCCTTCACACCCTCGGGATAACCTAGGAAGACTCCTTTCTTAGACCTAGGATCCAACTTGTCACCTTGTTGGTGCACATACGCTGCACACTCAAACACTCTAAGATTAGACAAATCAAGGGGTTTGTTTGAAAAAATAGATTCAGGGCACTTCCCACCCAAGGGAACAGAAGGAGACCGGTTAATCAAGTAGACAGTAGTGTTAACTACTTCACCCCAAAACTTTTTAGACAAACCGGCGGTGGCAAGCATACTCCTAACCTTATCTAGAACAGTCCTATTCATCCTCTCGGCTATCCCATTTTGTTGGGGAGTATAGGGCACAGTTTTGTGTCTTCTAATCCCACAATCAACACACAGTTGGTCCATATCCTTATTGCAAAACTCTAGACCATTATCTGTCCTAAGGGTTTTGATCTTCTTACGAGTTTGATTTTCTATAAGGTTTTTCCACTCCCTAAACTTCACAAAGACATCGGACTTATGCTCAAGGAGACGGACCCACACCTTCCTAGAAAAATCATCAATGATGGACAGAAAATATCTCTTACCCCCGTGGGTAGAGACACTAGCAGGACCCCACACATCAGCATGAACATACTCTAACACAGAGGTACACTTAGTGGGATTAGGATATGGGGAGGAGGGGAATGTAACCTTATGCTGCTTGCCTAACACACAAGATTCACAAAAGGGGATGGGGGACACAGAATCCTTACCAAAACAACCAGATTTATGCAAAATCTCTAAACCCCTATTACTCATGTGCCCTAATCTATTATGCCACAATGCAGATTTATCAGGACTAACAACATGAGCAGAATCACAGAAAGGCTGAGCATGGCACACATACAAGTTATTCACCTTTTTTGCCTTAAACAAAACAAGGGAATTTTTCAAAACTTTCATGCACCCATTACCCCATTTACCCTCTAACCCACTACCCTCAAAAGCAGCAACAGAAAACAAGTTATGACGCAAATCAGGAACATGCCTCACATTTTTCATAGTAAACACAGTCCCATTATCAAACTTCAAGCATACATCACCCACCCCATGAATTTTGCATTTCTTATTATCAGCAAGAGACACAAAACCATCATTGCAAGAATCATAAGAAGAAAACAGGGATCTAAAAGGTGTCATATGATAAGTACAACCAGAGTCAATCAACCACTCATTTTCAGTCATGCTACTCAACACAGAATTGGCAGAATCACAAATCATAAAAACTTCTTCATGCAAATTATTATCATCTACCACATTAGCATGTTCAGACTTCTTCGGATGGGGACAATCCTTAATGAAGTGACTAGAATTACCACAATTATAGCACACTCTCTTCTTAGACTTACCTCTCTTCTTCCCCGGGTCATTGTTTTTGTTCTTATCGTTGTTGCCCTTCTTATGGTTTCTAGATCTACTCTTAGACCTACCCCTCACAAACAACGCTTCACCTGAGTCCCTAGACTGACTGTTACTACCCCTCGAGTGTCTAAGGTCTAACTCCTTACTCCTTAATCCATTAACGACTACATCCAACGAGATATCATCTCTACCATACTTTATGGCAGATTTGACATCATTGTAAGAGTCAGGGATGACATTAAGTAACACTATGGGTGTGTAGTCATCTATGTGTTTATCATAGTGCATGCAACTTTAAGCAATGATATTTTTAATACAAAATTATTTTGAATATGAAAATTAGATTAAAATGTTTCTTATGATTAATATTTTCATCAAGTATAATGTTTATAAATTATATAGAAATATAATAATTAAAGCCATTGTCCAAAATTTGTCACATTGAGTAAGAAAATTCAATATACTTAGTGTGTAACAAATCTTTTCATGATGAAGGTAGTATAATTAATTGTATCTCAGTTGCCTTGCATATGCAAGGTCAGTCCCTTGATGGTGGATCAATTAAGTGGTGGCGGCAACTCAGTGTCGGCAAATTTAGACGGCAGCTATCGACATTATAGCAACACAACGGTGGTTGTCTAGTGATCAACAGCCGATGGTCAACGGCTTGAGCCAACAATTTGTCAATGTATGACAGTATGAACATTTTCTAACCAGGGTACTTTGTCCAATCACAAATAAAAAGTGTTACATATAAAATTTTAGACTGTTTCATGATATTTTTGGAAAATGAACGTAACAAGCTTTGGTCCATTTTGGGCATTCTCAATTCATTGTGCTTTATGGATGGGGGAGTGACCCATCCAGATACGGACATACCCGGAAAGAAAGAGGTGGGAATCTAGAAACCGAGTTGATGGCGGTGAAGACGGCGTCCCGATCATTGGCAACGCATTGGGCGCGGCCATGGACGACGAGGTGGGGCGTGAAAATGGTGTCCAGCCGGAAGGCCTCGACGTACGTCTTTTGCCTCACCGTCCATTGGCTCGAGCCGAAGGGGTCCTTCCACCCCATGTGATCCCAATAGTCCACGTGGAATGCCAGCAGGATGAGCGGCGGAAGCTCCCCCTCGAAGTCTCCCCTCCCCAACCGCGAAAACAGAAGCTCCGCCTCGTGGGAGGTGGCGCAACCCTGTGACGAGAAGAGCTCCACCACCACCGGCCCCTCACTCGCCGCCAACGACGTCTCCTCCTCATCCTCCGTCACTTCTGTTGCGGCGTTGTCGTTGTCCTGATGGTTGGCCACCGCTGAGGATGCGCGCTTGCGGAAGCAGGAGAAGAGACATGGCGCCATTGCATGCGCTCGTTCCAGCTTTCCTGCCGGCCAAATCGGATCGATGAATTTAGTGTAGACAAATAAAAACAGGCTAGGGAGAATGAATGAATGAATGGTACACTAACTATTCGGGCATGGCGCCGAGACAAACGCGCTCAAATAATCGATCAAATCAAAGAAATTATCTGGGACTAAAACATGGTTAAAACTCCAAATTAGGACTTTAAGTTTTAAATGGCTTAAATAGGACTCCAGATTACCTTATTACCCCTAATCCCAAAATCACGTTTCCCCAACCCCTCTTTCCCAATCCCTCTGCCATCGATCCTCCACCTGCGATTTAACCCTCCTCTTCCGACTGAGGTGCCATGGACGCACTATATCGATCGCAACTCAAGCGCCATCATCGTAGCCGTCTGCTCAACATCGGCCGCCACCTCTTCATCGGAGTTGCCTGCTCAACGCCAACAACGTAACCACCTCTTCAACGATTTTTCCAACAAAATCAGGTCTTCCTCCTCCTCCTCCTCCTCCTCCTCCTCCTTTTCCTTCTTATTCTTCTCTTCCTCCCCTCCGTTTTCTTCTTTGTTTTGTGCTTTTTTTGAATTTCAGATTATGTTAGGCATTTTAATTCGAAAATTCCATCATTTAAAAATAAATGACATGGTTTAATAACTGTAAATGTCATCTTTCTATTCCAAAATACCAAAGTTATTTTAGCATCATAGTGCACAGAATGTCATTTTTTAAAAATTGACATGTTTATTTTTTTATATGACATTTAAGGATACCTTGAAACTGACATGTTTTCCATATGCAAATGACATGTTTTAAGAATGCCACTTAATATGACAACAATAACATTTTCGTATAGAAACATGACATTCTCAATATGGCATTTCCAAATATTGTAATGACATAAAAGTGGCATTTTGTAAAAAAATACCCAATAATTGTGTCATTCTCTTATTCAAAAAGTGACATTTTCTGGAATCATTAGTCAGAGCATTTTGAGATTCAAAGTAATCAAAATTGATTAGAAGAAATTCATGTTCAGATATATACTCATTTGAAACTTTCAAAATTCAAAGTTTTATTTAAAATTTGATTGATAAAAAAACAGAGAACTGAGAAGGGGAGGAGAGGAAGTGGAAGAAGAAGGAAGAGTACATACCTGTCTTGGCTATTGCAGCAGAGGTCGTCGATGGCAAAGCTATGCCCTGCGAGGCTACAATCGATGCAGAGCATGACCATGGCAGAGCAAAGAATCGCGAAAGATGAATTGTGGTCGTGGCAGAGGAAGAGGCGATCGATTGCAGAGGGTAATTTTGTCAGATTACCTCTTTTTAGTCCTATTTTTGTCAAATAAAACATAGTAGTCCTATTTTTGCAATTCTACCTTGTTTTAGTCCTATTTGGGTGAATCTCTCATCAAATTATTTCTACCTAGCTACTCTCTCTATTTACACCAAACACACTAAAACTCTAAAAAAAAGTAACTTACACAGTTACACAAATAGGGAGTACGTTTTTCTGGACTGGATAAAATGTTTCTATCCCGAAATAATGACCAAAATAAAAGTAATAGACAAAAATATGACATAGTGACTATCATAATAATTTTAGTTATCGTGTTCTATTTTATCCTATAGTGACTACAAATAATCTATCTCTATATAAAGAGAAGTGGGATTTCTGGTTGTTTTCCCGCCCAAAACACCATATTAGATATGGGCCGGGTCGGGTTTCAAAGACAGGAGTGCAGGACCTAAGTAATGCACAATTAATGCTCTGTAGTCTTAAATTGTATTTTGCGTGTTACTGGTAGGTTTGACGGAATGGCAGTGTATTTCAGGTAGGTGACGTGTTACACTAGCAAAAGTTAATACATTGACTCAGACCTAGCAAAAGCTAATACATTGACTGAATGGACTGAGTTGTCCTTTCGAATTAAATGTTTCGTGCTTCAAGAGACTGCGTGCTATAAACCAATGGGTTATTTACTTCTACATCACCCAGCCCCACAGATTTGGTAGTATATATATGTCAAGAGTGTTTAGTTTAAGAGCACGGCTCATTCCAATGGGCTTAGAAGGTGAAGGCTGAAACTCATGAGTGCTAGAGTTCTGGCTGATTGCAATGGTAGGTAGACTCCAGAGGTTGTTTTCCATGACACAAGGTATTATATGTGCCCCATGATACTTTCTAGAAAATAAAATCAAATTCAGTTCAAGATAAATTAACGATGGGTTCACCAATGGAAGGCTAACGTAGAAGAAATTACCCTTTAGTCTACATATAGCTAGCATGAAATTTGTCAGTCAATTGACCAACCATCCAGCTTTTCAATGGGCGAACTATTGCCGCGCTCTTGCTTTTCAATGTCCAGAATATTGTCTCTTGCTTTCTTTGATTCAGTTTCTGGATATTAAATATGTATAAATCTACATATACGAGCTCCGACTTTGAATCCGCAAAGCAATGGGAAAGAAAGCAGCTGGAAGTTTGGGAAAGAGGAAGAAAAAACTCACACTCTCCGTGAGATGTGACCGCCCAAATTTCCGTCTGGAGAAGATGTTATTTTGAAGTATTAGAAGGATTTAAATTGTGGTTAATACTCCGTATTATGTTTTCTCCAACTTCTGCACATACTGACATACTCTTTCAAGATCAAAGCTAGATTTGGAAGTGTGGCAGCCTATTGGTTCACCGAAGGGATTTGAGATGACGTCGGGGTAGGACTGGAGGAGGGTAGCGTGAGGAGACTGGACTGGCTAGGGTGCATTTTATTTAAACGAAGACGACCAGTTACTTTGTTGCCGGCCGATTGTTGGTCGACGCTTTGGGAAAGATGATCGGAGACGAGTACATGACTGATAATCAGAAGTGATGGACTGAGGGGTACTGCGGACTGAACCCGCCAGTCTGGAGATGCTTTATGCGGATGTTGCGAGCCCGGGGGCAAAAAGATCTGCTTTATGCGGGTCAAATTGAAAAAATAGTTTGCCCATGTTTCTTTTTTCTTTTGTATGAATTTGTCTATTGCCAAGACCAATTTAATTTGTAAAAACATGTACGGAGTATTTATGCATTATATTGTAGATAGGTTTATCATGAGAAAGTGGTGCTAAGTAGGAGTAAAACATTTAGAAATAATTATAAATATATGATTAAAATAAAACTAATGGAAAAAAATATAACTTAGTATTTATCATTAATTTTAGTGATTATGAATTTTTAAGTATTAACGAATTGTAACTGTAATTATGATATTTTATTAGAAAAAATCAATGACTCATGCATCAATTTAGTGCCTACTTAATTAATTAAAAAGCTTTAATGGTCAAAATTGCTTCTTATCTCCTACAGACAATTTTCAATCTTGAAACAATAAAACTATGTTTTCTTCCATTTTGATCCAACACAAACATGGCTTAATCAAAATTAGCATGGTATAAATATCTATTCGCTGCGTAATTGTAAAAAAATAATCATCTTTGCATTTTGACTTTGATCTTTACGTGTTTGTGTTTCTTTTTTTACACAATATACTACTTTTATTGTATTGGATTTATATATAGTTAAAGAATTTATGTCTCGTGCATCGCACGGGTGTGAATCTAGTAACTATAATGCCTCATCCGTCCCATTTTCTAAGATACTTTTCTTATTCAGTTGGTCAATACAAATCACTCTTAATCTCTTACTTTACATATCAAACTTTTATTGAATTTGATTATAGTTTTTGCAACTTTGTATAGCTTTTAATATAGTTTTTGAATATGTAATTCTTTTTTCTAGAAATAATCTGAGTGTTGACAGAGATCCGATTGCTTTATCATCGGCCAAATATCGTAAATCGTAAAATGCCTTACAATTCGGGACGGATGGAGTAATATTTTTGTCCATGAATTATATTTCACTAATATTTAGTGAAAAATCTCTTCTTTCTCTTCACTCATGCTAGATTTCTCCCTTTATTTTTCTTTTTTATTTTCTTCAATTCTTTTCCATCTCCATCAAAATACTAAAAATTTAATTGCGGTTTTACTAATCTTTATTTTATGTGGATTAATAAAGTTTTGTTAAATTTTATTGTTTTTAAGATATAAAATAAAATTTGTTTATTTTGAGTTACATTTCGTAAAATATGAGATTGCATTTTCATATGTGTGATTTACATTTCCACATGTGTGAGTTATGATATGTTTATATAGAATTTCTGAAGTTACATTTGATAGTATATGAAATTACATATTCTTATGTGCGATTTACATTTTTTTTGTTCGCGATTACATTTGGACTTGACTCTACAACTTCATTTTACATACACCTAAGTTACATTTTCCATCAACACACTCTTAATTCTGATTAAATTAAACTTAGTTTTTACTTTTCAAGTCTAGTTAGGATGTTTTTACTTGGAGAACTGTTTTCAGTCCCACACCTGCAGACTACTTCAGACCAGATCAGATTTAAACCAATCAGACCAGACCAGACCAACAAATTACAGTCCAAGTAAAAACATCCTTATTCTCATTAGCTAGTCTCCTTTTCCATTGTTACTTTCATCTAATAAATAACCAAATAATGTTTCAATGGAAACAACACAACATATGACGACAAAAAGAAAGTTGAAGCTATATTAGGAGTTACTTCCAGAAATTAAAGCTCTTAAAAGTACAAGAGATTCATTATACACACACCTGCTATGCATTCTTGTATGTACTATTCCGTTTTATGGTTCATGATTTTTTTTTAAAAGTTTTATTTTCAAAAACCAATCTCCACCTAATGTCTAAGAAT